GATGATGATGATGATGATGATGATGATGATGATGATGATGATGATGATGAGGATGATGATGTTGAGGGTGATGAGGGTGGTGATGATGATGGTGGTGGTGGTGGTGGTGATGGTGGTGATGATGGTGCTGGTGCTCGTGGTGCTGGTGTCGCTGGCGGCGGTGGTGGTGGTACTGGTGGTGTTGTTGGTGGTGGTGGTGGTGGTGATGGTGGGTGTGGTGTGGCGGTGGTGGTGGGGGTGGTGGTGATGGTGCTGGTGGTGGTGGTGGTGGGGGGGGGGGGAGGGGGTGGTGGTTGCGGTGGTGGCGGGGGCGGTGGTGGTGGCGGTGCTGATGCTGACGTTGCTGCTGCTGACAATGGTTATGACGGTGGTGATGATGATGCTGGTGAGGACGACGACGACGGCTACGACGACGACGACTACGACGACGACGTTGCTGATGTTGTTGTTGATGAGGATGCTGCTGATGATGGTGATGATGATGATTATGATGGTGGTGGTGGTGATGATGCTGATGCTGCTGATGATGATGATGATAATGATGATGATGATGATGATGATGATGATGATGATGACGATGATGATGATGATGATGATGATATTGGTTCTGCTGCTGATGATGCTGATGACGCTGATGGTGGTGGTTATGATGATGATGATGATGATGATGATGACGGAGATCATGACAATGACGATGACGAAGACGTTGTGATGTTGACCTGATGGCAAATGTATTGATGTTGATGATGATGCCGATGATGATGATGCTGATGATGACGATGATGCTGATGATGCTGCTGATGATGATGCTGCTGCTGCTGATGATGATGATGGTGGTACCGATGATGATGATGATGATGATGATGATGATGGTGGTGGCGATGACGATGATGGTGATGATGATGCTGATGATGCTGATGATGACGATGATGGTGATGATGATGCTGCTGATGATGATGATGATGATGTTGATGATGATGATGTTGATGATGATGATGATGATGATGATGATGCTGATGCTGATGATGATGATGATGATGATGATGATGATGATGCTGATGATGATGGTGATGATGATGCTGCTGATGATGATGATGATGATGCTGCTGCTGATGATTATGATGATGCTGATGATGATGATGATGATGATGATGATGATGATGATGACGACGACGATGATGATGATGATGATGATGATGATGATGATGATGATGATGATGATGATGATGATGATGATGATGATGATGACGACGAGGATGACGAGGATGATGACGACGACGACGACAGTGACGACGACGATGATGATGATGAGGATGAGGATTAGGAGGAGGAGGGGGAGGATGACTATACCCAGGATGATGATGAGGAGGACTCATACATAGGAGTGATGGGGATCTGATCAGGAGCGACGGGAGAAGGAAGAGGAGAAGAACGAGGAGGGAGGATGAGACACATGATGGAGAGACGAGTGGGATAAGGAGGCAGAGGAGTAGGGGTGAGCATTGGGAGGAGGCAGAGGGTGAGCATGATGATTGCGATGAGGGGGGATGAGGAGGATGAGGTGGAACGGGATAGAGATAGAGAGGGCGAGAGACACAGAAAGAGAGAGAGAGAGAGAGAGAGAGAGAACGAGGGAGAGCACATGATTGCAGGACGATGCTGATGGTGCTGCTGCTGATGATGGTGTTGATGGTGATGACGATGATGACGATGATGACCACGATGCTGCTGATGAATGATTGTTGTTGTGAGGAGGAACATGAGGACGAGGAGGGGGATGAGGTAGTGGAACAGGTCATAGAAATGGCGGGAACGGGGTAGGGGGTAGAGGGGAAGGAGATGAGGGCGATCGGATGGGGAGGATGTGCGAGAGAAGCGAGGGGAGGAAGCGGTGGAGGACGAGGATCAGCGTAAACCCAAGATGCATCAGCGGTGCCGCAATCCACCCTCCCGTCCCAAGCCCCCCCCTCAGAAGTCCTTACAGGCCTTCCTGTTCACTAAAGGAGGCACCCCCGTCAAACGACCAGCACCATACGGGCCTGCCGTTTCGGCTGTAGCCCCGTTTTGAAAAGCAGCAGCCTTGCATCCTTCTGGCGACCAATCCAGAATGGAGTAAAGTGCAATCATGTATCTCAACAAGGTCTCCAGCGAGAGTCCCCCTTGTCAAACACGGCAGGCCCAAGTGTGTACATGTTGCACACATCTACACTTATCGCCATGACCTTCGAGGGAGTTTCAAACCAGATCACCATTTTGAAGATAAGCATCCCTTGACCCGTGTAGTGCTACATGTGTTGAAGCTTTTGGTCTGTTCAAGCAAGTCGCGACCGAGAGCCCCATACTAAGAAGGAACTATCCTCCAACTTATATTGCAAACTTTTAGACGGATGTGCGCGGTGTTGAGGCGAGAGCCCCATGTTGAAAGCCTCCGCCTCCATCCGTGAAGCTGTGGTTAACTTTTCCAGACGAGTGTGCACGGCGCTGAGGCGAGAGCCATTTCTTGGAAACGATTCTTTTTGCAGCCCTGCTGTTGCAGATTTGTATGATTGTGCGCTGCGCTAAGGCGAAACCAACATTTTTAACGCACCTCCTCTTGCATCCCTGAAACGGGTGTAATCTTTTAAGAGACATGTCTGCGGCGCGAAGGCGTCAGCCATATGTTGAAATCGACTCCCCTTGCATCCCTGAAGCCGCTGGAAGCTTTGCAGACGAATGAGCGCGGCGCTAAGGTGAGAGCCACAATATGATCCTTGACGCCGTTGCAAACTAAGACGAATGTGCGCGGCGCTGAGGCGGGAACCACATTTTGAAATCGACACCCTTGCATCCCGTAAATGTTGCAAGCTTTTCAGACGACTGCTCGCAGCGCTATGGCGAGAACATCATCTTGAAATGTGACCTGTGCTCCATCCCTGAAGCTGTGGGAACCCTAGAGCTTCAGGATCACAAATGGCGAGGCAGTCTCAGGCGAAACGCCCAACCTGCCCTACCGACGCGTCTGGGGGTGCGTCTGAAAGAGACCATACTTTGCCCTTTTCCAGCCTGCTTGCGATCCGCTGATGTCCTTCAGCCAAAAGCTCAGAGGCGAGGAGGATGAGGAGGATCGTGAGGATGAGGAGGCGGAAGAGGCGGAGGAGGCGGAGGATGATGATGATGATGATGATGAGGAGGAGAAGCAGGAGGAGGAGGAGGAGTAGGAGAAGGAAACGGAGGAGACAGAAGAGTTCTGTGGTACTCTACTCAGCAGTGGGCGTGCCACGTTCAGCCCCGCGCCGCAACCTCTCGTAGGATACCGTGCCCCCGCAGGAGGAGGAGGAGGAGGAGGAGGAGGAGGAGGAGGAGGAGGAGGAGGAGGAGGAGGAGGAGGAGGAGGAGGAGGAGGAGGAGGCGGAGGCGGAGGCGGAGGCGGAGGCGGAGGCGGAGGCGGAGGAGGAGGAGCGGAATGCTCGAGCTACTCCGAGCTGTTCAGTGAGCTACCCCCTCGCCACTCACCCGACGGCCCGTCCTGGCTCCCCGAGCCCTACCCAGATTACCCCAAGCCCCGCGCAGAACAGCCTCCCTCTCCCCCCCCTCCCGCTCGATGTCTGCTCAGGCTCTCACTGGGCAGCCTGGGGGGCCGACCGCGTCGCCTGCACCCACAGAGCTCCAGGCTGCCCGCACAGTTCCGAGGGCCCAGCCAGGAGTCCTGCAGCCCTGAGCTCGGAGACCGGCAGCCACACGCCGCACCACCGCCGGCCCCCGGCGAGCGGCTCCTCCATGGGCAGCCCGGCGGGCGCGCCGGGCCCGGGCCGGGGGGGCGGACGCGGGCGAGGCCCGGCCAGGCCCGGTGGTGGTGCCTGCCGACGTCCGACGTCGTGTGCACCAGCTCTCGAGCTGGATCGGCGCCCGGCCCTTCAGCTCATGGGCGGCGCAGGAGGGGGGAGATGCGAGAGGGGAGGAGGCCTTCTCAGAAGGCTCGGATGTTTTTCGGCCTTGAGAGAAGCTTTCTGGGCGTTCCCCGAGGACAGGGAGACCTTCTGTGAGAAGGCGCTAGGACTTCCGAGAAGTCCCGCCGCCTTCTGAGAAGGCCTTCTCGTTCTCGCTTCCCCCCTTTGGCTCGCCGCCGAGCTCAAGCTTCAGACATCTCTTGAAGCGCGCTCTGACCGTGATCTCGAGGCAGATCGAGCCGACGGCAGATCGAGGCATGAGATCCCGAGCTGGAGCGGACGCGGCCCCGGCTGTGTCCTCCAGCTCCGCGGGCGGAAGCTCCCGACGTGTCTCGTCCCGATGGTGTCTTATCGCTGCCGTCGCCAAGAGGAGTCCCGAGCTGTGAGAGATCCCAGAAGTCCACGCGTGAGGTCCCCGGACGCACCCAGAGTTATGATGTCCCGACCTATTTACTCTGGCCTTGATCGCCAGAAAGAATTTCGAGCACCAAGGAAGTACCAAAACTGAATGGTTTTCACGTGGCGGGCCCTGGGAGGCAATACTCGTTCGACGCTTCGCTAGGGTGTCGGATAGACGCTGTTTCGTGGCTTTTTTGGGTGCTCAAAATTCTGTTGGGGATGTGGTCCTTAAGTGCGATGGGAGCAACATAACCCCAGAGGCCTCCATGACGCCTCCCTGGAGGTCCAGAAGAGGCGGCAGGATATCCTCGCCGAGCGCGTTCCACGACTCGCCAAGTGTCTACTCTCAGCAGTCGACAAAGGAGCAGTTGTGTAATGGAGCCTGAATCCCCCGCGGCGGATGTTGCCCACTTGCGAGAAGCTGCTTTGCGAGCAGTGGAACGCGCTCGTCCATATTAGGGGGCCAGATGCGAACCCTACCCCTACCCCCTACGATTTCTGAGGGGGAGGGTGGGGTCCGCTTTGCTCGGGAGCTCCCGAACGAAGTGAACCCCACCCTCCCCCTCAGAAATCGTGGGGGCTGGCGGTATAGGGTTCGCACCTGGCCCCCTACATCTCCGAGAGAGGGTGTGGCTGCCGGCGTCCGACGAGCCCGCGCCCCGCGCCCGCGCCGCGATGCACTCCGTGTCGCGGCGGGCGACCGGCGCCGCCGTTCGCGCCGCCGCGGTCCGCCGGGGCCCCCCCCCCTCGGAGAGCGTGCGCGGCCGCTGCCGCCGCCTGGGCCGGGCCCTCGTGCTCGTCCTTCTCCTCGAGGTTCGAGATGCTTTTGAGCGTTGAGCGTGCTTTCGAGGTCCTTCTCCTCGAAGTTCGAGGTGCTTTCGAGATCCTTCTCCTCGAGGTTCGAGGTTCGAGGGTGGAGGTGCTTCTGAGCGTTCTGGCCCTGCGCGGGACCCGCGGGGGCCGCAGGAAGCCCATGGAGGCCTCTGGAGGCCTCGATGGGGCCTCTCTCTGGTGACATCTGGAGACGTCCGGAACCCACTGGGGACCTCCCGTCTTCCTCCTCTTCCAGCTCCTCCTCCTCGTCCCCCGTCCTCCCCCTCGGCTGTGCACATCAGCCATCGCTAGACACGAGCGAGGGAGAGAGAGAGAAAGAGAGAGAGAGAGCAGACATACACTCGTGTTCCCCCCACCCCGAGCAGAGAGCTCTTGAAAATGACACTCTAGCTCGAATGGGAAGCGGGATAGACGGAATCTCCTCCCCCAGATCCGCTTGTTCCAACTCTCTGCCCCCCGTCTTCCTCTCCGTCAGTTAGCATGCTCTACCACCACCACATCACATAGCTAGAGCGAAAGTGGTCTGGATAATACCAATAATATCAAGGATAACATGAGCACGGAGTTGCGCGCTGTAGTACTAGGCGTTGTAACCGTACCCGTAGTATTTTTTATATGATTCGTAGTAGCAGTAGTAGTAGTAGTAGTAGTAGTAGTAGTAGTAGTAGTAGTAGTCGTAGTCGTAGTCGTAGTCGTAGTCGTAGTCGTGGTAGCGGTAGTGGTAGTGGTAGTGGTAGTGGTAGTGGTAGTGGTAGTGGTAGTGGTAGTGGTAGTGGTAGTGGTAGTAGTAGTAGTAGTAGTAGTAGTAGTAGTAGTAGTAGTAGTAGTAGTAGTAGTAGTAGTAGTAGTAGTAGTAGTAGTAGTAGTAGTAGTAGTAGTAGTAGTAGTAGTAGTAGTAGTAGTAGTAGTAGTAGTAGTAGTAGTAGTAGTAGTAGTAGTAGTAGTAGTAGTAGTAGTAGTAGTAGTAGTAGTAGTAGTAGTAGTAGTAGTAGTAGTAGTAGTAGTAGTAGTAGTAGTAGTAGTAGTAGTAGTAGTAGTAGTAGTAGTAGTAGTAGTAGTAGTAGTAGTAGTAGTAGTAGTAGTAGTAGTAGTAGTAGTAGTAGTTAGTAGTAGTAGTAGCGTAGTAGTAGTAGTAGTAGTAGTAGTAGTAGTAGTAGTAGTAGTAGTAGTAGTAGTAGTAGTAGTCGTAGTAGTAGTAGTAGTAGTAGTAGTAGTAGTAGTAGTAGTAGTAGTAGTAGTAATCGGAGTTGTCGGAGTAGTCGGAGTAGCAGCAGCACAGCAGCACAATCACGGGACAACCAAGCGACACCCACGGGACAGCCAATGAGACATCCCACGAAGCAACTAGGACAACCGACGACACATCCCACTAGACACCCCACGGGAAAATCACGGCATAACCCACGAGGTAGCCCACGGGACAATCATGGCCTAACCCATGAGAGAAAACCCACGGGACAACCACGGGGCAGCCGTGGGACAACCCATGGGACAATCCACAGGATAGTAGCGGGGCAACGCACGGGACAACCACGGGACAATCACAGGACAGACACCGCGACACGCACGGAACACGTTTTCGCTCGTGTTGGCTAGAGCTACGCCAGCGCATCACCGCCTTCGCGCAGCTTCGCTTTGCCCGAGCGCGCAACACGAACTGGAACCGAAACCCATTCTTGTTTTCTGAGAGGACAGTGCTCATGATTCGAGATGTTTACGCCGTTCCACCGACCCCCAGAAGAATCCTCCGACATCGTATGTGTTGTTTGCGGCTTTCCGTCGTGCAGTCTGCGCGTGGTTGTTCCCCACCCCACTGGTTGGGGTTATTGGTAGACAAGGAAAAACCTTCTGCCCAGTCTACATACCGCGGTCGCTAGACCCCACGGGATCCCGGTGGTCCCTTACAATCCTGTCTCGCGTCCTCGACGAATGATGACGCCCTTCATACCAGGCAGCCCCGAGGGGAGGCGTCACTGCGTTACGCCGTCGGGGTTACGACCCATGAGCCAAGACGCATGAACCGTCGACATCAATGACGCAACACAAATGGACGCCTGTACCAGAACAGGCGTATGAATTCATAATGTGCCATATCGTATGTAGTGGCTATATCAAAGCACAGCATGATGATCCATATCTTGGCGAACCATACCCTACCATAGCATGGACTAGCATACCATACCATGATGTAACAACACTTTATGTGCCGTACCACGCATATACATATACATATCACATCGTAGTACGAAGCCCACGACCATAACATCGCATATTATTAGTTACCGTAGCATAGCATCACATCATTGACTTACTACTGTTGTCAGTATGACAGCGGCTAAAGCTCACCATGAACTCATATATAATTTTTGCTATTTGAGTTTTCCACACATGTGTTAAGGGCTTGTCGGGATCACCGGGGTGCAACAGTATGAATAGATAAGACACCTGATTCTTTTCAGGTGTTCTCAGTGAAGGACAGACGAAGGCGAGGAGGGGAAGCAACTGCTCGTCCCAACTCCTGCTTCGAGTCCACTTCCAACGCATCAGCGATAGTAGGAGCCTTAGCCGTATGCTTCTCTTCTTCTTGTTTCCTTTTTTTCTTCATGCAAACTGGAGCGGGGATGGCGAAGGAGTGCGAGGTGGAGGGCTGGAGATGGAGAGGGAGTGGCACGTAGAGAGAGAGAGAGAGAGAGAGAGAGGTAGGGATGGGAGGAACGAGCAGCAGTTCATGGGAGAGCAGAGAAAGCTTGCCACGGTCTGATGGGGGGCTCCCTGGAACTAATGGTACTTGGACGTGTGGCGGGATTGGGAGGGGGAAACTTCCCTGGAAGGGGACACGTGGTATTTTTGTGGAAATGTCACAGTGGGAAAAGCGCGAGCCCGAATTAAGAACACGGTGTTCGCATAGCCCGCGCCAACCAACATGACTTCCCTGGAGGGGGGAAGTGGTACTCGGAAGGCAGACGAGGTGCGGAAGGTACGGTCCTCGACATACAACACGGTTTGCACATAGCCCGCTCGGGTCGACACGGCGACACGGTCTCCCTGGAGAGGAAAACTACCTCTCACGAGGGGGAAACATAGTAGCGACACGGCTGAAAAGGGTATTGTGGGAACGTGTAGGCCACGAGATTGAGGGTCTCTGCGGGCTGTGTCTGGGGCCTCACCAGGCAGCGTTCCGGGCCGGGAGGGGCACGGAACCTTGTAAAATGTATGGTTTGCGAATGCCTTGCCCACTTTGGTGGGCCTCCCTAGAGGGGTGGGAGGGTCACGAAACCTTATAATTAAACAGTTGGTTATGCGAATATCTTGCCCGCTCTGGCAGGGTGGTCGTAGTAGTGCTACGAGTTGTAGCAGTCGCGGTAGTAGTGGAAGGGAAGAGGAGAGGTAAACATGGGCAGGAGGAGGATGAGGATGTGTTTTAGGATAGAAAAACCATGCATGATGTGGGGAGTTCTTGAAACACGCATATCATACCATACCGACTTGTAGCGTCATGTGATGAGCTGTTCACAATCGATCGCACCATGTCATAACACAGCATACCATCACATATCACATTCGACTTTCCATATCATGTCAATTCACATCAGTGCATATCATATCATACCCATAACAGAGCATAACGCGGCATACCATAATATATCATACCAGAATTTGACAGCCCGTACCATAAGTGCATAAGTGTTCTATTATTGTTACGTCTACGGCATCGCATTCACTTTGACTACCATGGAAATAGCATAACTGAACGGGAATGTTATACCATAACATCTAGTAACATACCGTAATGGACATATTATATCAGAGTGCACCATACCAACGCAAACCGCAGCATATCATAACATAGTATGGCATATCATGGTATACCATGGCAATACATACGGTGACAGAGCGGGGCAAGCCACAGTATAGCATATCATACATAGCCTACTTGCTCTACTACGACTACCACTATGACAACAACCATGCCATATCGAAGCGGTATGCATCACACGTGCAGAGTAGTTCCAGAACAGAAAACATCATATCATACACATATAAGTTACACTGAACGTGTGCACGGCTTCATCACAGAAAAGTAGCACACAGGCAGTCCTAACATGGTATGTCTTAGAACATTGGGGGAGCGTAACACATTTCATTGTCTCATGACAATAATGAGAGCCCAACGCATCTCCTTGACCAGCAGCACATTAAAACATACGCTGCCTTACAACAGTAAGTCGTCTTACCATTTGATGCGACAAACAACACCCTGGCATATCACAGCAGCGCATACCACGTCACACCCATAACACACCGTACCTTTGCAGCTCGGGGCATGAAGGGTACATCACACCAGAACATGTCAACCCGTACCACAGTTGTCCTTCAATTTCTGTGACTAGCACAACGAATACAATTTGGTGTGCACGAGTGAAACACAACATAATCGTAACGTTTTACCTACATCATATAAACATAGGATAATGGACAGACCGTGCATCATACCAACACATGCCACATCATATAATAGCGTTGCACAGCATATGATATACCAGCACTCATCACTAACAACATCTCATACCACACCATGATAAAACATACGGGAACAGAGTGGGGCATGACATACATAGTGCGATATGACAGTATAACATAGCCTACTCTCGATTTCGTAGTGAAGGGGGTGGGTCTGATTCTGGCCAGACGGTCCGTTTCAGACCCTCCCTACCCAAATCAGCCATGAATGGGGCTGCCTTTTGGGCGGACCTTGCGGAACCCTCCAAGACAGCCCAAATCAGACACCCCCCAGATCAGACCTCCCCCTCTTTATTACGGAATGCGGTGTAGTTGTTCTGTTATGGCTACCATTATGGCAGTAACCATGCCATACCGTAGCGGCTTTTAGTTGAACGGCATATTAATTTCATAGCAGGGCGTGACATATCGTAAACATGCAATGAACAAAAACAACGTGTGTACGGCTTCAGAGCAGACGAGAGACTAGCACACACACAATCATGACGTAATAGGTTATTGGAAACATGAGAGAGCGAGGGAGAACACATGTCTGACAATCGCATACCAGCGCAAATGGTAACGCACAGTTAAACCAACATAACTCAGCGCACATGTAGTGTATTGCAATACCATGGGTGTGGAAGTAAGAGTACAGAACACACCAGAACAGGAGTGCAATACCAGAAGAAGAGTGCAATGCCAGACTATATAGCAGTCGATGCGACGGTAAATGTATGTGATATCAGAAAATCTAATATCCAAGTGGCTTACGCCATTCCGGCGCCCCCCCCGGAAGAAGCGAGTGCTTGCGACGATCTGGCAAGTTATTTAGTGGGTCAGGAGCTTTTTGGATGCATTTGAGGGGCTCGTGGGATGACTCTCAGGGGCCTCTTGGAGGGCTCTTGAGGGCATCTGGGGGGCCTCTCAGGCCTTCTTGGGGGCCTCCTGGGGGCTTCTTGGGGACCCCTTGCGTCGGAGGGGCTCTTGGGGTCATCTTGGGTAACCTGCTTGGGGTCGTAGAAAGGCTCGAAGTGTGAATCCGTACCCCCCTTCTTGGGCCCCTCTTTGGGCCCTTTGGGGCTCTCTTTGGCCTTCATGGGGGCCCCTGCGGCCGTCTTGGGGCCCTCTAGGGGCTGTTTGTGCCCTCCTTGGAGGCCTCATGGGGGCCCCTGGGCCGTCTTGGACGCTGCCAAGGAGAACATGTTAATGCTACACGTGCGCGTTTTCCTACGGGGATGGGGCGAATTGAGTTAAATACGAGTGCGATATCCGAACGTAGATTTTGTGTTCACAGCAGACCAGGAGAGACTAGGTCCGACACGCAAACTAACAGTGACCATCACAAAACTTATCTATACATACAATCACATAGCAAAGCCAAATACAGATGGGTAGTTTAATCGAGAAGAGAGTTGAACGTAACACAACATAGCAGGGCATAGTGCCGTATAACACGGTTGAAGAGAACATAGCAGCATATCATGGAGTAGCCAAATTCATTCGAGCACTTGAGCGACGAACATCGTTGACTATAAAAGACACGAAACATCAGCGGCCGATCAACAGCGTCCAATCAAACGCGACGTGCGCGCCGAGGGCAGGCTGGCCACAGGAACAAGGAGGCGCAGCAACGACCGATCGGACGACGTATCAACCGTGGCAGGCGTCACGACGTAACGCCAGCCTGTCCAGAATATAACGAAACTAAGTGAAGTAAACGCAGTTTAAGATTGTAGACTACGGTGGCGGCCGATGAACGGCACCCTATCAAAACCAACATGCGAGCCGAAGAATGGCTGGCCATTGGAATAAGCAATGTATTGTTTGAGACGAAAGCAGAACCGACGCGAACATGATAGAGTATACATGCGGCAACGACCGAGTCAGTGCGTCTTATCACACGCGACATACGCTCCGAGCTAACGCGGGCCACAGTAATAACAGTACAAGATTCGGGAACGAACGCTGAAGGTTTTGGTGGGCATGAATCGAAGCAACATACTTGCTGATTTGTTCTTTTCTTCTTCCGCGTGTGCTGCGCGCCTTGTCTTGTGGCATGTAGGAGGCCTAGGAGGCGGCTTCCAGGGTCCTTTTCAGGCTATGGGGGTCTCTGGGGGGCTCCTTTGGGGCATGTTTGGGGTCTTGGAGGCCATCTTGTGGATGAGGGCCTTGAGGGCCTCTTGGGCCGTCTACGGGCCCTCTTGGAGCATCTCGTTTGGCCCCTGCTTGCGGTCTCCTGGGCAGCCTTGGCCGGCCCAGGGGGCCTTCCCGGGCGGTTTGGGATTCTCGGAAAGCCCGACAGAGGCGAGAACACGAAAGTCATCAAACACATAAGAAATAATTTATGTTTGCCTCTTCATGCCTTTTGATGGTCCTATTGGGGCCCCCTTGGGGTGTCTTTGGGGCGTGTTGGGCCGTCTTGAGGCCATCTTCGGTGTTCTTGAGACTCGTCTGGCGTGTTGAAGCCCTTCTGGAGGTACCTTAGACTTTGATGGTTGGGGATGGATTTGGAGGCCCTGGGGGCCCCAGAGGTGCTCTGGGGAGCTCGTTTCCCCCCACGGGGGCTTTGGACGCAAGGAGAGGGGGAACGAGGGAGGAGGACAGCCAAAATGTGCCAAGCGCGTTGCCACCCCCGGCAAGGAGGGATCGGCGGATTGTATAGGGGAACAAAAAGTAACATAAACATAAAAACTCGCAGGTCCGCGCGGATTTCTCGGGTCGGCGCTGGGGCCCTCCGGTGGCGCCTCCAGCGCCGCCCCTGGCGCGCTCCGCGCGCCAGGGAGGGCGGTCCAGCGCCGGTCCGAGAAATCCGCGCGGACCTCCGAGTTTTCATGTTTATGTCATTTTTTGTTCCCCCATTGTAAGAGGTTGGGCCAGCAGCGCAGCGGCATACCCTGCACACAATCAGCTTCCAGAGTCAACTTCCGTAGCCTCTCGGTAGTACGGGCGTCGATTCTGCGCAGAAGCCAGTTAAGTACCAGCTCTTCCCTCTCCCTCCCCCTCCTCCTCCTTCCTCCCTTTCCTCCCTCGCCTCCTCCTCCCCCCAGTGGAGGGGGAGGAGGAAGAGGATCCCTCGCTCCCTTCTTCCCTTCTCCCCTGCCTGCCGCCCCCCTGCCGCCTCCCTCCTGCCTCCTGCCTCTCTCCGTCTACTCTTGAATTCTTCCTTCTTCCTCCTTCCTGCTTCCGTATTCCTCGTCTCTCTTCCCCACAGAGGGAGGCACAGTTCGGCCTGGGAAAAGGAGGCGAAGGATGTGGAGGAGGAGGAGGATGACGCATACGAGGCCAGGGGGAGGATGAGCAGGGATCAGCGAGCAGGTGGGAGGGAGGGCGGAACAAGGACGATGATGATGATGATGATGATGATGATGATGATGATGATGATGATGATGATGATGATGATGATGATGATGATAGATGATGATGATGATGATGATGATGATGATGATGATGATGATGATGATGATGATGATGATGATGATGATGATATGATGATGATGATGATGATGATGATGATGATGATGATGATGATGATGATGATGATGATGATGATGATGATGATGATGATGATGATGATGATGATGATGATGATGATGCTGATGATGATGATGATGATGATGATGATGATGATGATGATGATGATGATGATGATGCTGATGATGATGATGATGATGATGATGATGATGATGATGATTATGATGATGATGATGATGATGATGATGATGATGATGATGATGGTGGTGGTGGTGGTGGTGGTGGTGGTGGTGGTGTGGAGGAGGAGGAGGAGGAGGAGGAGGAGGAGGAGGAGGAGGAGGAGGGGGAGGGGGAGGAGGAGGAGGGGTTGGAGGAGGAGTTGGAGAAGCAGAAGGAAGGGGAGTTTGAGGAGTTGGAGGAGAAGTTGGAGGGTGAGGATTGTTATTGGGAGGGGGAATGCAAGGGGACGGGGCGAGGACGAGTTATACGGTGGAGGTGGGAGGCAGGGGTGCAACAGAGCCGCACGCGGAGTGTTCGCGAGGCCCGCCATCGACGGCCGTACTACCACGACGCGGTCGCCTCTGGGCCCAATGCTCTATACCTCGAGAACATCTACACGCAGTGGAAGGCCGATCCCTCGAAACTCGATCCCAAGCGAGGCGCCTAGCTAGAGCCAGCGCAAGCCAGGCATACCGGCTTGCGATCTCGTCCTGGTTTGTCCTCGGAGGCCTCCTCGGGAGGTATGATGAGATGGAGAGTGGTGGCAGCGGGGGGGAGGGGAGGGGGGCACAACTGGGAGGGGAGGGAGGGGGAGTGGACTGAGGACGGGAGGAGAGGAGGAGGGAACGAAGAAGGAGATGACGACGAAAACGATGATGTTGATGATGACGAAGAGGATGATGATGATGATGATGATGATGATGATGATGATGATGATGATGATGATGATGATGATGATGATGACGATGATGATGATGATGCTGATGATGACGATGCTGATGTTGATGATGATGCTGATGCTGATGATGATGATTACGATGAGGCTGAGGGTGATACTGATGATTATTATGATGACGATGAATATGCTGCTGATGATGATGTTCTTGCTGCTACTGATGGTGATGAGGACGCTAGTGGTGCTGATGGTACTGATGATGCTGACGATGATGATGATGATGATGATGATGATGATGATGATGATGATGATGATGATGATGATGATGATGATACTGATGATGATGATGGTGGTGGTGGTGATGATGATGCTGATGCTGATGCTGATGATGACGATGATGAGGATGATGCTGATGGTTATGATGATGCTGATGATGATGGTGATACTGATGATGACGATTACGATGGTGATGGCGATGCTGCTGATGATGCTGACGACGATGATGATGATGATGCTGATGATGATGTTGTTGATGATGATGAGTATGCTTCTGCTGCTGCTAATGATGATGATTAAATGGTGATGCTGCTGATGGCGGAGATGATGCTGATGATACTGATGATGATGATGATGGTGGTGGTGATGATGATGCTGATGATGATGATAATGATGCTGCTGGCTGCTGACTGCTGCTGCTGCTGATGATGATGATGATCATGAGGATGAGGATGAAGATGCTGATGCTCATGCTGATGCTGATGCTGCTGATGATGCTGATGATGCTCATGATGATGAGGATGATGATGATGGTTGTGGTTGTGGTGATGATGATGATGATGATGATGATGATGATGATGATGATGATGATGATGATGGTGGTGGTGGTGGTGCTCCTGCTGATGATGACAATGATGATGATGATGATGATGATGATGATGATGATGCTGATGATGCTGATGATGCTGATGATGCTGATGCTGATGGTGATACTGATGAGGATGATGATGATGTTGATGATGATGATGATGATGATGATGGTGGTGGTGGTGGTGATCATGATGATGATGATGGTGATACTGAGGTTGATGATGATGGTGATGATGCTGATGGTTATGATGATGCTGCTGCTGCTGATGATGATGATGATGATGATGATGATGATGATGATGATGATGATGATTAGGAGGATGGGGAGGAGGAGGAGGAGGAGGAGAAGGAGGAGGAGGAGGAGGAGGGGGAGGAGGAGGAGGAATAATATTCTGATCGGGGATCGGATGAAGACAGGAGGACGGCCCGAGTAAGCTCAGTATGCAACAGCGATGCTGCAGTACACCCTCTCGTCCCGAGCCCCCTGCTCGTACGTACGGCCATAAACGTATTCGTCTTTATTGCTGGAGTCGCTTCTTCGTCAACGTGCGCTCCAGGGATCTGCCATCGAGGCGACAGGAATGCATTGAAGCACGCATGACCCTCCATCCGTCTTGCTGCAGGAAGCAGAAAGCTGTAGGATCCTAACGTTCAACGCGACGTCTAGCGAGAGCCCCGTCTAAACAAAAGAGCCGCATTCTACCCCGGTAAATGTTGAATGGCTTCGGTTCGTGCTCGTGAATTCCGGGGAATCCTTGAGCGAGAGGTCAAGTTCGAAAAAGGAACCGCCCTCCATCCGTGTGTCAGTTGTGAGTTTGAAACGATTTGTGCGTAGAGATCAGGCGAGTGAAAGCCACCCGCCTTCATCTGAATAGCTGACAGGAGCGTTGAACATGTATGCGTGAGGCGCTAATGCGAGAGCAGCATTTTGAACAATATCTGCCCTCTAGTCGTTTTGCTGCCGCAAGCTTTGGAGAAGAACGTGTGTGGCGCTATTGCAAGTGTCACACTTCGAACAACACCTTCCCTCCACCCGTGTGGCGGTCGGAAGCTTTTATGATTGTCTGCGGAGCTGATGATATAGCCAGGTATTGAAGACGATTCCCATCCGCGTAACTGCTGGTTTCCAAGCTTCAGGATCATGCATTCGTTGCGGCGGCGTCTCGAGCAGAACGTCCTGCTTGCACTATAGGCACGTCGGGTGGTGCGACGAGGAGAATTTGAGGAAGAGGGTGAGGAGGACAACGAGGAAGCGAGAAGAGGGAGAGTTCGAGGAGGAGGAGGAGGATGAGGCGGCACCGACGGAGGAAGCGCAGGGGGAAAGGAGAGGTGGGGGGGGAGGCAGGGAGGGAGGAGGGAGGAAGGGGAAATTCTTTACGCTTCGCGTATCCCCACCAGCCCATCTCAAAACAGCAACTCTTGCGAAGCATGCCGACAGTCGTGTTTTTCAGGCGTGTTTCCGCCTGCCCCCGTATATCTCCCCTGTTCCTCCTTCCTCCCGCCTCCTTGTACATCCTCCTTGTGGTGGGAGCGGGAGAAGGACGAGGCGGAGGAGGAGGGAGAGAAAGCGCTCCTCGTGGTTTGAGTCGTTTGGGGTTTCTTGTCCTGGTGTGAGTCGTTCGGGCCCTTCTTCCTGGTGTGAATCGTTCGGGCTCTTCGTGATGTGAGTCGTTCGGGCTCTTCGTCCTGGTGTGAGTCGTTCGGGCTTCTCGTGGTGTGAGTTGTTCGGGCCCCTCGTCGTCGTGTGAGTCGTTCGGGCCCCTCCTCCTGGTGTGACTCGTTCGGGCTCCTCGTGGTGTGAGTCGTTCGGGGCCCTCGTCGTGGTGTGAGTCGTTTTGGGAGCCTCTTGGAGGCCTTTTGGGGCGTCTTCGGGGCCTCTTGGCGGCCCCAGGGGCTTCTAGGAGCGTCTTGGGTGCCTTGGGGGAGCCTCTTCGGGCCTCTTGGGAGCCTCTTGGAGGCCGTTTGGGGCGTCTTTGGGGCCTCTTGGCGGCTCCAGGGGCTTCCAGGAGCGTCTTGGGTGCCTCGGGGGAGCCTCTTGGGGCCTCTTGGGCGCCTCTTGGGGGCATCTTGGGGGCCTCTTGGAGGCCTCTTGGGGCCTCTTGGGACTCTTTGGGAGGGGTCTGGGAGGAATCTTGGGGCCATCTGTCGGGCGATCGATCACAGATGGGGCGAGCACTTTTCTCCCCCCCCCGTCGGGGCCAGAATCCTCGTGAGGGGTGTCGAATTTTAGCCCTCCCAGGAGTCGAAAAAGACCCCTCCAACGACCCGCGAGACGCCCTCTCCAGGCCCAGGGGGAGGGGGTAGGGGGAGGGGTAAACCCCTCCCCGAAGGGGAAGAAGGGGGTTGAGAACAGAGCGGGCTCTCTAAACCACTCACGCCCAAAGAGCTGGTGGGATTAGTGGGGAGGAGGAGGAGGAGGAGGAGAAGGAGGAGGAGGAGGAGCTGGAGGGGGAGGATGATAAAGAGGAGTTAGAGGGAGGAGGCTTGAAGGTGGGGCAGGAGTAGCAGGAGGGAGAGAAGTGAGGGGAGGAGTGAGGGGAGGGGGTAGGAGGTGGATAAGGAGTGAAGAAGGAGGAGGACCACAGTGAACCCAGGATGCACCTCCGATGCTGCAATACTCCCTCCGGTCCCAAGCCCCCTCTTCACCAGTCCCTACACATATGTTTTCCATAAGGGGGAAGCGCCACCTTGTAACAGGAGCGCCCGATTGGCCTGCCACCAAGGCGAGACCCCGTTCTGACAAAAACAAAGAAACGTAAGGAGGTATAATGATAAAGACCAGAGAAGCGTGCAACGATATCCCTGTTTGGAAGAGTGTCGGTTCCATATTCGTGTAAGTGTTGCACAAAGCTCTGCTCATATAATTTGCGGATTCATCATGCAACAGCCCAGTTTTGAAGAGGGGCCTTCTATCGATGACGCCGTTGCACAATTGTGGCAGTCTGCGACATACATTTCGAGGACGTCTCAAGCGATAGTCGTATTTGGAAATCGAGCTGGCCTTGATCTGTGTAATTGTTTGAAATCATTCACGCCTCGCGTATCCCCACCAGCCAAGCCAATTCATAAACGCTGCCGTTGAGAGCTGATCTTCTTAAGGCTCTCTTGTACCCCTCTTGGGGGCCTCTCGGGAGACCTGGAGGGCTCTTGGGGCCAACTTGGAGGCCAAGGGGGATGCCCCTTATCTAGGTCCCCCTCAAGAGCCCTCAAAACCGTCTCTTGGGGCCCTTTGGGGCGTTCTTGGGGCGCTCTTGGGGCCGTCTGGGAGGCCTCTTGGGCCCCTCTGGGGCCCTCTTGGACCATCTTGGGGCCATCTGGAGGCCTCAGAAGCCCACCACAGGCGAGAATCCACCATTGATTGATTTCTTGAGTTTTTTGGAGGATTTTGGACTTTTGGGGGGATCCTTGGGTGGTTCCTGGATAACCTACGCCCAGAAGGCTGGTGGGACTTTAGAAAGAGCGCTAAGGCGAGAGCGGCATTTTGAACACCATTGGCCCTCCATCCTTGTCACTCTCAGTGGTTGTTACGACGAATGTATGCGGCACCAAGGCAATATCCGCACTTTGGAAACGACTGGCCCTCCATCCTCGTAGCTATTGGAAGGATGTCTGAAGCGAAAAAAAGTCCCGCCTGGCCTGCGGACATGTGTGGTGGTTAAACAGGGGGGAGTTGTTTCTACGGACCAGGGGTGTCGGAGGAGGCTGGCTGATGATGATGCTGATGATGATGATGATGACGATGATGATGCTGATGCTGATGCTGATGCTGATGATGATGATGATGATGATGATGATGATGATGATGATGATGATGGTAATGACGATGATGATGACGATGCTGATTATGATGATGCTGATTCTGATGATGATCATGCTGAGGATGAGGATGATGATGATGACGATAACGACGATGGTGATGATGCCGATGATGATGACGATGGCGACAATGACGACGATGATGATGATGATGCTGACGCTGATGATGATGCTGATGCTGATTCTGCTGATGATGATGGTGGTTATGATGATGCTGACGATGATGATGATGCTGATGCTGATGCTGATGCTACTGCTGATGATGATAATGATGATAATGATGACGATGACGATGGTGATGATGCTGATGGTGGTGATGATGAGGATAATGGCGATGATGATTACGATGATGATTACGATGATGATTACGATGATGATTACGATGATGATCAAGCAGAAGGACGAGGATGTTGATCATGATGCTGATGATACTGATGATGCTGCTGCTGATGATGATGCTGATGATGCTGATGATGGCGATGATGATGCTGCTGATGATGACGATGATGCTGATGCTGATGATGATGATGATGATGATGATGATGATGATGATGATGATGACGATGGGAATGATGATGATGGTGGTGGTGGTGGTGATGATGCGGATTCTGATGATGAGGAGGATGATGATGATGCTGATGCTGGCGATGCTGCTGATGATGAGGATGATGGTGGTGGTGGTGATGCGGATTATGATGAGGATGAGGATGAGGATGAGGATGCGGGTGGTGGTGGTGATGCGGATTATGATGAGGATGAGGATGAGGATGAGGACGACGATGTTGAGGATGATGATGATGCTGATGCTGGTAATGCTGATGATGATGATGATTACGATGATGATGCTGATGACAATGCTGATGATGATGATGATGATGATGCTGATGCTGCTGCTGCTGATGATGACGCTCAGGATAGATGATGATGATGATGATGATGATGATGATGATGATGATGATGATGATGATGATGGTGATTCTGATGATGCTGATGCTGATTGCAACGGTTGTGATGGTGATGCTGACCATGATGATGATGATGATGATGATGATGATGATGATGATGGTGATGATGTTGATGCTGACGATGACGATGATGATGATGATTGCTACGATGATGATGATGATGATGATGATGATGATGATGATGATGATGATGATGATGATGCTGACCATGATGATGCTGATGATGATGATGATTGACGATGATGGTAATGACGCTGATGATGATGATGCTAATTTTGTTGATGCTGATGAAGATGCTAATGAGGATGATGATAATGACGATAACGACGACGCTGATGATGACGATGATGATGATGATGATGATTATGATGGTGCCAATGACGAGGAGGACGATGATGACGATGACGATGATGATGATGCTGCTGACGATGACGCTGCTGACGACGACGACGACGATGATGATGATGATGATGATGATGATGATGATGAGGATGATGATGACGGTGATGATGATGATTTTGAAGATGATGACGATGATGATGATGCTGATGGTGATGGTGATGATGATGCTGATGGTGATACTGATGATGATGCTGCTGCGGATGATGATGATAATGATGACTATGATGCTGTTTCTGAAGGTGATAGTAATGGTGGTGATGGTGATGATGATGATCACGCTGATGATTACCATGATGTATGAAGACGGAGGGGGAGGATGCTGATGATGATGATGATGATGATGATGATGATGATGATGATGATGATGGTAATGACGATGATGATGATGACACTGATTGTGCAGCTGCTAAGGATGGGGATGAGAATGAGGATTATGATGGTGATGGTGATGCTGATGATGATGATGGTAACGATGACGACGATGATGGTGATGATGAGGATAATGATGACGATGATGACAATGACAACGCGGATGATGCTGACGATGACGATGCTGATGGTGATGATGATGACAATGCTGATGATGATGATGATGATGATGATGATGATGATGATGATGATGGTGATGGTGATGGTGATGACGACGCTGATGATGATGAGGATGCTGATGTTGATGCTGATGTTGCCGCTGCAGATGATGATAATGATAATGATAGTGATGATGATGATGATGATGATGATGATGATGATGCTGATGCTCCTGCTGATGATGGTAATGGTAACAGTGATGATGCTGATGATTATTATGATGATTACGATGCTGATTACGATGATGACGAAGAAGGAGGAGGATGCTGATAATGGTGCTGATGATGCTGATGCTGCTGCTGATGATGATGATGACGATGATGATGCTGATGATGGGGATGACGATGGTGATGATGATGATGATGATGATGATGATGATGATGATGATGATGATGATGATGATTAGGATGGTGGTGCTGGTGAGGATTATAATGTGGATCTGGAGAAGGGTGAGGATGAGGATGAGGATGAAGATGATGTTGAGGATGATGATGAGGAAGATGATGAGGATTCTACGGATGATGAGTGTGATGCTGATGCTTGTGATGCGGATGATGAAGATGATGATGCTGATGACGATGATGATGCTGATGCTGATGGTATTGATGATGATTATGATGATGATGCTGATTATAATGGTGGTGCTGCTGCTGATGATGGTGATGATGATGATCATAATGGTGGTGGTGATGATGATGATGATGATGATGATGATAAATGGTGGTGGTGGTGCTGCTGTTGCTGATTGTTATCATGATGATGGGAATGAGGATGAAGATGATGATGACGACGACGATGATGATGATGAGGATGATGATGATGATGATGATGATGATGAGGATGAGGATGATCATGATGATGGTGATGACGATGATCACGTTGACGACGAGGATGATGATGATGACGATGATGCCGACGATGATGATGATGATGAGGATGATGATGCTGATGCTGAGTCTGATGCTGCTGATGATGATGATGATGATGATGGCTACAATGATGCTGATGCTGCTGATGCTGATGCTGATGCTGATGCTGGTGCTGGTGCTGATGCTGCTGGTGATGATGATGACGATGATGATGCTGATGCTGATGCTTCTGCTGATGATGATGGTAATTGTGATGATGGTGATGATGATGGTGGTGATGATGATGATTTCGATGATGATTACGATGATGATAATTAAGGGGAAGGAGGAGGATGCTGATGATGCTGATACTGCTGATGATGCTGCTGACGATGACGCTGATGATCATGACGATGGTGATGATGATGATGGTGATGATGATGGCGATGGTGGTTGTGATGATGAGGATTATGATGAGGATGAGTATCAGGATGAGGATGATGATGATAATGATGATGCTGATGATGCTGCTGATGATGATGCTGATGATGATGATGCTGCTGATGACGATGATGATGATGATCATGCTGATGCTGCTGCTGATGATGATGATGATGATGATCATAAAGGTGGTGGTGGTGATGATGGTGATGTGATGATGGTGATGGTGCTCTTGCTGATGATGACAATGATGATGATGACTATGATAATAATGGTGATGATGCTGATGCTGATGCTGATAATGATGATGATGATGCTGATGACGATGATGCTGATGACGATGATGATGATGATGATGATGATGATGATGATGATGATGATGATGATGATGCTGATGCTGATGCTGATGCTGATGCTGATGCTGATGCTGATGCTGATGCTGATGCTGATGCTGATGCTGCTGCTGCTGCTGATGATGATGATGAGGAGGAGGAGGAGGAGGAGCAGGACGAAGAGGAGGAGGAGGACGAGGAGGAGGAGGAAGAGGAGCTGGAGGAGGAGGAGCAGGAGGAGGAGGTGGAGGAGGAGGAGGAAAGGCAGGAAAGGGAGGAAAGGGAGGAAAGGGAGGAAAGGGAGTGGGGGAAGAAGGACGACGAGGAGGACGAGGAATTGATGAGGGTGGGGCCAGGAGCGGGCGCTGCGACCGAGGTGGAGCGAGTACTTCGCGGGCCTGGAGGGTGGCGGGGCGGCGGCGCCGCCGGCCTCGGGCTCCGACATGCGGGCCGCGTCGCTGGGCGCGCAGCTGACAGCGCCGCGGGAGGAGCGCTCGGGGCCTGCTGCTTCGGGGCGGGCGCTCGCGTGCGCGCGCGGCCTCTCTGGATGCCCCCATGACGGCCCTTGGAGGGCCCCAAGGAGGACCCAGGAGGGCCCGAGCATGCTCCGGATGTCCCCAAGGGCCTCATGGAGGGCACTCGAAAGGGGGGACGGTGTTTTGTCGTCTCTGACGGGTGGGAAACGCTTTGTGCCGTTGGGATCGCTCTGACCTGCTCGCGCCCCCTGAAGCCACCCAGAACCACCAAGAGCGCCCAAGCTCATAGACGCCCAAGTCCTTTCCTTGCTCTTTGTTCTCCTCCTCAGTTCTCCTCCTCTGTTCAACCCCCATAAATTCTCCTCTTCGTCCTTGTCCTCAGGCTACTGGCTCGAGCTACTGCTCAGGCTAATGGGTGTCGGCTGTCGGCTGGCGGCTGCGGCTGGCGGTTGTGGCTCGCGGCTGGCGACTGCCCGCTGTATCCGAATTCCATTTCAGCGTCCTTTATTTTTGCAACTCTGCCATGGCTCGCAAGCGACGCTCTGCCGCATCGCAGGTGGATGGCAAGCCATTCGGATCGCCAGCAAGCGAGTTCCCTGCAACTCTGGAAAACTCAGCACATGCCGTCGAGACGATGGATAGCTAACCACACGAGTTCAGGAACTCGAATCGGAAGTCAGGACACTCAGAGTCTGGTCAGAAGAGCATCAAAAGGTTGACGACAGAGTGCGCGCGCTGGAGATACTGCTCTTGAGAGTCCTGGTGAGCGTCGTTGTTTAACTCAGCTGAGGCTTTCGAATGACTACCAAATGCCCAGAACGCAGTCATACTCAGGGAGATGGAATGTATGTTCTTCCAACCGCCGATTCGGAGGATTAGAACATCGCGAGGCGTTTGGATTTGAAACCGGTATCTGTACTAGGCCCTTGTGATGGGACAAGTTTGGATGGCTTCTGGTTTATTTCGAACATCGGGGCATGCGTTGTGTTCGGCGAGAAGTGTTCCTTCGGATCAGGTGGTAGCTATAGTTTCAACATACTTCTCGAGACGTACAAGTGGGAGCTGGGAGCGTGAAAAAATATGAAGCCAAGCACGCGGATGATGATGGAGCCGATAGTACATTTTCTGGCACCAACGAAAAGCTTTCTTGGCATAGGCTGTTTGGTCCCATGGATGCGTGTTCGGATTGATTATCCTGGCAACCCCTGAAAAGCTCAATCGTCCTCAGGCAAGTATATGTAGTGTTGGTTCAGAACGAGTGCTTCTCATCAGACTTGTCAGTATGCGCACGTCTTGAAAAGGATACTGCAGGAATTGTTCGGTCTGTCGACGAAGATGGGGATTGCCGCATGTCGTTCCCCACGCCACCACATCTCGCGAACAAGGCTCGATGGATGGTCAAGCATGACGCTGCACTAGACACCTTACCACGGTGTTTTTTTGGGGAGCAGTGTTCAATTATTTCCGGCGCTGCGGCGCCTTCGCCGAGCTCCTAGTGGGGCCGTCCTACGGGACGTTTTCTGGCGTCTGTCTGTCTCTGTCTGTCGTCCTCGTCCTCGTCGTCGTCCTCATAATTGACCCCAAGACGGCGCAGGGAGGGAACCGTGCGCTCGGGCACGGTGGGCGGCGGGGTTTTGGGGCACGGAGGGAAGGGGCGGTGAAGGGGGCAGGCGGGGCGAAGGAGGAGAGGAGTGGAGGGAGGCGAGGGGAAAGTAGGAAGAGGGACGCTGGATCCTCCGCCTCCGTCTCCTCCGCCTCCTCCGCCTCCTCCTCCTTTCCCCCTTCGCCTCCTCGTGATCCTCCTTTCCTCCTCCCCTTCGTGCCTCAGCTCTTGTCTCTCGTCGGTCGTCCTTGTCTCGCGTAGCATCCCGACCCGCTGCTTGAGGGGCTCTGGCTGACAGAGGTGCCAGTAGTCATCGAAATACCACAGCCCTTTCGTCGGCTCAGCGTCTGCGGGTCTGAGACGCACTGTTCGGTCGGGCGCTGCGGTGCGCTCGTGGTGCGCTCGGCGGGGCAGTGCCTCCTCGTGATCGTGCACGGACCCACGACGGGTGGGGAGGAGGACGACGAGGAGGAGGGCGGAGGGCGGAACGAGGGGCTGCGACGCCCGATCCGTGGCCCACGGTTGGGCGGTTCGTGAGAAGGTCCTGCGCCCCACCGCCAGCATCTCTGCTCCGCCGCGCGCGGAGCGTTGCCGGGCAAGCCGTCGAAAACGGCATGGCCAGCGGCCCAAGTCGGGTCAGTCGCCGCCCAGCTGATCCTCAGCCCTTTTCGCAGCCGGGATTTTGCCCAGAGGGCAGCCGTGGCCTCATTGAGGTGGCCCGAGCGGCCGCTTTGGCTGCAGCTGCGAGCTCGCTAGCCTCCTCAGCGGCAGCACGGCGAGTTTGTGCCAGGATCTTCACCTCGCCGTCGTTCTCCTCCTCGTCCTCCCTTAGACGGTCGCGGAATCGGCGGAGTCTCGCATGCACCGCCTGCTCAGCAGCGCGCGCGTGTGCGCGCGCTCGCGCGCGCTCCACCTCGGAAACTGGAACGTTTACATTACCAGTGGCGGGCTGATTTTCATTCCATGACTTGTTTGAGGGTCGGGGACGGCGTCGGGGTGGTGTGGTGTATACTTTTCCCCGTTTCCCTTTGGAAACAGCGAAACATGTGTGCATGAGGATCCTGTATGCACCAGCATCCGCTTTCCTGTGCAAACTTCAGTGCAGGGCTGGAACAAGCGTCGGTGCACAGCGTTCGTTTCCCTACCACCACCTCCGCCACCTGCTCGATGGAGCTGGCGCAGATGGTTGGAGCTGGTTTCTCCCTTGCGCTCCTCTGGGCGGCAGGGGCTCCCTCGCGCTGCCGGGCGACGGTCGGCGGAGCACTCCGCTCTGGGCTCTGCCGCACCCATGCGCAGGCCTTGGCGCCGGCCTTTCCGCCAGGGGCAAACGGTCTGCCATCCGCGTCGCTCTGCTGGGCGACGACGGCTCCAGGACTCTGGGATGCTCTAGGCCTCGCAGGTGGGGTCGGAGTAGAGGGGGTCGGAGGATCGCGCCGCATCCCCGATGCATCGGCGATGCGGCTCGATGTGGAGCCCGCTTTTCTCAACGCTGGCGTCGCCGATACACCGCCGCCGTCGGCGATGCATCGCCGGTTCATCGCCAATGTATCGCCGATGCATTGGCGGTGCGGCGCAATCCTCCGACCACATCTACTCCGACCCAATCTAGGAGGCATCTAAGGACTTTGTGATGCGGCAGCCTTTTTTTTTCTCACCTTTGTGTCCTGTCCTCGCAGGGCTCTCCACCCTTGCCGGCTGCGCCAGAACCTGACGCCGAGGCAACCGGCTACTGCTTTATGGTGCTCTTCTTTCTATCGCCTGGCGTGGGCACCATTGCTCCCAGCCTGGTCGCCGTGTGGGCTTCAGCCGGAAGCATGGCCGCAGCGCTCTGGGACCAAAGGATCCGCCCTTGGAAAGCCCCTGCTCGCTTTCCTCACCGAGGGCGAGGGAACTGCCTCCGCCCTCCCCGCAGTGGTCGAGGGAGCTGCCCTCGCCGTTGTGGTTCCTTGTGGCGCTCAGGGAGCTGCTGCCGTTGACACTGGAGGTGGCTCTCCAGGCCACCGCTCTGGCAGCGGCGGGTACCCCCTCACGTCAGGAGAAAGCTGCCTCTGGCAAGGGCATCACTTTCAAGGGGATGCACCTGCGCCCCTTGCTCTCTCCGCCTCCGCAGTCGGCGGCGCGTCCTGCGCAGGTACCCAACTGCATTCGCCGCGCAGGCGCGCCCGCTTCATCGCTGGGCGGCGCCCCGCGTGCAGGGCCCGCTCGCAGTGGCTGCACGTGACCCGGGTGCGGTGTGCCCGCCGCTTCCCGGCCCTCGGCCGGGACCGGGGGGGGGAAGCGAGAAGGAGACGGCCTTCTCAGCAGGCGGCGGGACTTCTCGGTCCCTCGCGCCCTCGGAGCGTTTTGTTGTTTTTTGTCTTCGGGGAAGGCTCAGAAAACTTCTCGGAAGTCCGGGGGACTTCCGAGCCCTCTGAGCAGGCCCGCCCCTCCTCGCCTCCCCCCCCCCCCCCCATGGCGCGCCCCGCCTGGGCCCTCTCCGCGCGGGCCTCTGCCGTGGCGGCCCCGGGCCCTGCCGCTGGGCGCTCCTCGCCCCCCGTGGGCTCCTCTCCCCCCCCCCCCGCGCTCCGCTCCCTCGGGGGGCGGGCTGCCCTCGCCGGGCTCCCGGCGAGGCGCGCGGGAGAGCCCCCCCGGGGGGCCTCCAGACGCTCGCGCTCTCCCGCTGGGGCTCGGGCCCCGTGTGCCGGGCGTCTCGCCCTTGGGACCCCCCCTGTCCTCTCGCGGGGGCCATGCTGGCCTGGCGGGCCCTGCTCTCCAAGGGAGAGCAGCTGTGCGGCGCGTCTCCCTCGCGGGCGTCACAAGAGGGAAGCGGGGGTCGGAGGGGGTGGAGGGCGGAGGGAGGGGGCACGGCGAGGTGGGCGGAGGAGAGGGAGGGAGGGATGGGCGCGAAGGTCGGAGGTTGGGGGGTGAGGTCGCAGTGAAACGGAGAGCCCCCCACCGGGAAGCCGGTTTCGGTTTCGTGCCGTGGGTGCGGGCGAAGCGAAGCTGCGTGTGCGGGCGAGAGGAGTGAGCCATCCTCTGACTAGGGCGTGGCAGAGATAGAAGTCCGCCATACCCCAGCCGCGTGGCGGGCGGTGGCCGCGGGTTGTCCCGCCGTGGTGTCAGGTGTTGCCCCGTTGTGCCCCGTGGTGTCCCGTGGTGTCCCGTGGCGTCCCGCGGCGTCCCGATCGGTGTCCCGATGGTGTCCTGGTGGTGTGTCGATGGTGTCTCGATGGTGTCTCCGTAGTGTCCCGACTGGTGTCCCGATTGGTGTCCTGATGGTGTCCCGGTGGTGTCTTGGGAGTGTCTTGATGGTGTCAGGATGATGTCTCGACCCAATCTCTTGCAGTCCAATCGAATGCAACCCAATCGGTTGCAATCCTGTCGATGCATTGTCGTCAGCATCGCTGCACCAAATCTTGAGCGTATCACC